GTAAGTTGTAGTGGAAGAAGTATGCACATGTCCCTAAGCAGGCCACAGTTTGATGGAAGAGGCCAGGCAGTCTAAAATAAACAAGAAAGCTCTAGGTCAGGTGTTGACAAACATTTTCATCAAAGGGCTTTACACTGAATTTTAATTTTAGGTTTTCCAGCCCATATATTCTCTGTTGTACCATAATAGCAATAAAGCAACCATAAGCAATGCAAAAAGAAATGAGCATAGCTGTGTTCAAACAAAGCTTCATTTACAAAAACAGGCAATGAATTGGTTGTTTGATCAGGAGGCTGTAGTTGGCTGGCCCCTGCTCCAGGTGAAGGCAATTTTTCTATGATACCTACCCTCCAGTTGATGGCTGGCCTGGTGGTATATGTAGATATCTCTTTCTTCCTCATCACAGGATGTGGGTTCTTCCCAAAGTGATAAAGCTATCTTCCCAGATAAATAAGCCATGCTTGGGTCAATGATTTTTTAAATCACTATATTCCTATGCCAGAACTTCCATTAAAATCAGACATCAGCCCATTTTTCCAAAATTAAAACAGTAAGTTAAAATTATAAATGACTAGAAAGAAAAGCGGGGAGGTTCTTGCAAATGGGAAGTTGAAAAGGCTCAGACTCAGAGAGGAGAGTTTGAAGACATGGGGAGAGCAGCTCAATAGCAGAAAGGGCATGCTCAGGCATAAATGTGGCAGGAGGTTTCCATGGAAGGATAGAATGGATCCTTGGAGTTGGAATTTAAAATGGATTTGAAAAACAATGTAGTGGGGGGCACGGTAAGTAAGGGACAAATACAATGTAGTAGGAGTTGAGATAGGAAGAAGCTAGAGTCTGAAAGCCAAAACAGAACCAGGTCAATAGTCCAGGCACAGCATGCTGAAAATGTGCACTCCAACCAAGGCTGTGGCTTTCAACTGAGAGAGATTAAAAGGCCTTGGTGGATCGCAGCTGTGAGGCAAAAAGAAAACGTATAGCAGCTATAAACCCTGACCAGGCCACCTACTCTGTCAGCACCAGAGCAGACCTGCTGGGTGTCATAATCCCAACTCAGGCACTTTGCTTACAGAGCAGAGACAGGCTGAAGCATAATCCTGATATAGGGATTTCACAACAGCATTAGGGACAGATGGTATCATAATCCTAAATTGCACACCTCACATATGCAGCTAATGACTCCAAGCTAGCCCAATACTTGTTTATTCAACAGTCCCAGATATTGTTTGCCAGTAAGTAACATTCATAGGCATTGCTTTCTTAATATAGGACACACGCAATTCAGTTTTGTTTCATTTGTTTAGTCTTTAAAATGCCTATTCCATTTTCCCTTCCCGAGCCTCATCCCCTGGAGTCCTTGTGTCCACTTGGTATTAGTCTTTGGTGTTTTTGTATTTTTTCTATTTAATGAGATGAACCCCAGTTTCTCCTTTGCCACTGATTTCTACACTTGTCTTACTTTTAGTTAGCTTGTTATTGTGCTGTTTGTTTTTTTGCATCTTTATGTTCGGCTCCTCCTCAACATCCATCCTATTATAATAACCCAGGAAATTGGATGTATTTACTGTTAATATATAGAGAGATTTAGCTATAATTTATTAAGCATCACTAATGATGCATGTGCCATTGCAACCGTAGGAGTTTCTTTTAAAGCACTGAAAATATTAAAATTTTACATTGCCTTAGGCAAGATTACAGACTCAAAATTCTTTAGGGTCAAGTAGCTTACATAAACTAATGAAGAATGACAGATGTTAAACCTATTGGGAACTGTCATTCATCTGAGGGCACCCTGATTTAAAACATGGTTCTATCAAAATCAAACATGTCTCTGAGCTATCTGATCAAGCCAATTAGTTTAGTAGTTTAGTTTTTATGAACTCATATACTTTTGCATAAGTAACCATGAGGCAGCCTGGACAGACATTAGTATACTTATTTTACCAACATGTAAACAGGTCATAGAACCCCCCATTCACCTTAAATTGTAATTATTATTTTAGTAAGATAATCTAAAATAGGTATCAGTATAGCAAATGCTCTCTGAAGACTTCTCCCTGTGGACTTTGTCCTTTTTGGGGGAGCATGTGTGTAATAATGTACAAGGCTGAATGTGACCTCTTACATCTACAGCCAGAATTCTGAGTCTTTACTTCCTTAATTATCCTGTATCTAATTATCCTATATCTTAATTATCCTGTATCTTAATTATCCTATATCTAAGCAGATATAGGCCAGTGAAAACAGTCTCTGAGGGCCATCCATCCTTGAATTACTTAGCATATAGAGTGAAGCTCTGTGACTAGTTTTTGTCCTTGAGACCCCTGGTTGATAGAATCATTCTCATCGACTACATCTTGAGAATAAACCAGGAGATAACAAATTGTGTTTAGTCTGTTCCTGCACTCAGGTTTGAAGCATGTGTGTGAGGAAAGTGTTGGTTGCTCACTCCAGTGGCTGGGAAAGGGAAGAGCATATAGGCTGGGATGTGTTCAGTCACCCTTTCTGAATGTTGCTTTTGAAGCTCGCAGCAGTAGCTGGGCTCCAAAGGAAAGGAAGCATGTAATGTGTGGAAAACTAAAAGGCTCTGCTGTTCCTAGGGAGAGATTTCAAGTCCAGCACATTTTTGTAAGTTCTTTGGGGAAAAGACATAATTTATCTCTGTAAATTCTCAGATAGTAGCTTGGTCCTTCTGCTGCAGTCAGTGTTCAATAAACATGGGTAGAAACGGATTTCCCTTTCTATGTGTTTGAAAGAGGTGTAACCCTCAGGTGGAGTGGGAGAGTGTTCTGAGGCTCCACTTCTAATGGCAGTAAAGTTAGGGAAAACTGGGTGGTTGAGGTTGCTAAGAGATGGTGCCAGGTTAGATGGACCTCTAGCCAGAAGAGGATCTCATGACCGAAGAATCTCATGAGTTGACATCAACAGATGGGAGTCCCTAAAGAGGAGGACAATTACCCCAGCTCTGGAGAAATGGTGAAGAGTGATGTGAAGAGAATCATCAGGAATAATGACATAATTAGATATTAGGGAAGTGCTGCAGAATGCAATTCCCCAGGGAGAAAAATATGAAGTTAGCATGCAGGATGCTTACTAAAAAGGATCCTTGCAATTAGTACCTAGGGCAGGAGATGAAGGAAGCAGGGTTAGAGGGAGCGATGGGGCTGTGATGCAAATCTAATACCAGCCTTGGTTAACACTGAAGGGAAAGCTGGAGCTAGAATAGAGCTTCAAAGTTATCCCAAGTCCAGACAGGATGCCCAGGCTCTTATTCTCCCACAGGATAAGTGTGATAATGTCAGTTATTAGACATTAACTGCCCTGGGGAGGGGCATGACCTTGAGCAAAGCCCTGCTAGGCAACTGAGGCAATCTCTAAAGGAGCTCCATGATGAATGTGGTCTGCAAACAGCACTCCCAGCAAACCAGGGCAATGAGTACTTCCTTAAAGAGGGATCTGGGCAGTACCTCAAAGCATCTACTCCAGCAAATGATCTGTGCCACTTGGATCCACTTCTTTATATACTGTCTGAAAGCATCTCTTCTAGGATTCCTATGGACTGCACTTCATGGGGCAGTTTAGCAGGAAAAGTCAAAGGGATGAAATATGGCCCTGCTATTTCAGCTGGTCTACAACTAATACCATCATCTCCCTTCCCCACTATCCCTTCTAGATTCCCTCATCCTCAGTTAGCACCTCTTCTGGCTTCAGGTCATTCCACTCAGAATGAGGTTGCTATACCTTTCTATCTACCATGAACATGTGGCATAGATGTACCAAGTGATACCCAGGTGGATCACGGTTCCAAACATTCTTTCCTAGTCCCTTTGTATGGTTCTGCCTTTTCTTGATAATCAGGGTCAGTCACTGATGCCGGGATGGTGACTCTCCTTCTTCCCTGCCACAAGGCCACTACAGTGCTCAAGTGATAATCATAGCTTATAATTGAAAGGGATTGTTTTCCTTTGTTTCCTGGTGGATATATTTCCCCTCTTTGAATCAGCACTTCTAAGCCTTCAGGGATCAAATTTGCAGGGGTTGGAAGCATTGATTCCTTATATGGAAACAGATGGCCGCTATTTACGAGTGGTGCCAAGTGCAGCCACTCTGGTTCTTGGTTCACACCTCATTAAGTCCTTTGATTCAGTGAATCATTATCAAGTATTGTCTCCAAGCTTACATGTCAGCTATCCCCATAACAGGATGTTCCAGTGTCCTGTCAGGCCATTAACTTCTGGGTGATGTGGTATGATAGAAAGAGTGGATCTCATAGTCATAGGCCCACCCTTAATCTTTTTCTCTTAACAAAGTGACTTCCTGATCTAAAAGGATGTTATATGGGATCCTATGTCTGTAGATCAAACATTCTGTAAGTCTTTGGATAGTGCCATTGACTAAGGCCTTATAGGGAGGAAAGACAAACCTATTCCGGAATATTGGTCTATTCCTGTCAGAATGAACCACCAGATCCTCCAGAGTGAAAGAAGTCCAGTGTGGTTAATTTAAGAACCAAATGACATGCAGTGATTTCAGATAATATAGAAGGAGCTCAGTATTGGATTCTATTGATAGCAGATTGCATATTTGACAATGGCTGTAACTACAGCAGTTTGGGTAAGATATCCTCCATGTCTGACACCGTTACCACTTCACCCATGGACCCTCCTGTCTAAAATGTTTCCTTAAATAACTTCTAAAATACACAGATATCCTGGTTTTATTCCTCCCTCTTTACTCCTTCCCAGTAGCTTTCCCTAATTTATTTTCTTCTGCCTAATTCTTAAGCAATATTGACATCCAAGGTGCTGTCCTTTATTATCTTTTCTTCTCTAGTCAGATATTCTCTGTGAGTGAACTCATCATTGCAAACCTTCATTCATCAATTCTACGCTAATGGGTTTTGGCTCTAGAGTGGCCGTGATCCTGAACTCCAGACTTATATTTACATTTTTAAAAAGAATTGTTGAGGCATTATGGAAGATGGATTCATTTAACCATAACTCATTTATTCAATGAATATTCATTGAGTTCCTATTATCCAGCTGGAGTGGGAAAACAATAGAAGCAGAGAGTCCAGAATACAGGCAGGTGGTGGTTGAAGCTATGAGAATGGAGAAGATCATACAGAGTCTGTGTACAAGGGGAAGACAAAGGGAGCAAGAATCAAACTCTAGGATTCATCAACATTTAATATATAGATATAACATGCCCTACTGAACCTGATAAATTCAAGAAGGCTCAAAATCAACAGGTCCAAAATAAACTCACTTCTCTTTAACTGAAGTTGCTTTCCTCTTCTCTTTTACCTTTGTGTCAAGCACTTCAATACCTCAACTTGAAAATCTGAAGTCATCAATGCCTCAACATTGTCATCTTCATCCTTTGCATCCATTTGGTGGCTAAGTCCTGTTAATTCTATCTGTGATGCATCTTCAATACCCTTGTCTTTAGTCTTGTATGAGTTTTCATCCAGAGGTGACATTAGTCTCCTTTCTGTCTGAAATCCACTCAAAATCTGAAATGTGGTATGAGGAGCCCATGAGAAGCACATGTTGATATGAAAGGCAAAACGGTTGTGCCAAAGTGGGGTTTGTAACTAATTGCTACTCTGAGATTTGCTGCCAAATGAGAGATCTTAATCAGAATGGCAGTGGATCAACATGTCATAAGTTAAGAAGAAAGTCAATTAGTGTGACAGGTGACAGAAATAGGGCTGGAAACCAGAGGTACACACATGCCACTTGTAGGATGAAATGCTCCTCTCCTGTATTTTAATTACTTGTGGGAGGGCCAGATTTTAAAGTAACTGAATTGGATGAGGTATTAATGGATCTTGTAGTTTCTAGTCAGCCTCTCTTCAAACTCAGTACCTAAGAGATTATCAAGTAAGATTCTCCACAGTGCTGTAAGAACAGTTTTTCTGAAATATGCACTTTATTATACCAGTCTTTGGCTTGAAATATTGCAGTAGACCCCATAGGCTTTAGCAGTTTAGTAGTTCTTAATCTGAGGATTCTGGCAGTGTGTAAAATGTGGAGGAAATCTACAAATCATGCTGATTTTTTTGTGTGTGTGTGGCATGATATGTTTACTGAGGATAAGAAGCAACGGTTGGTTCATATGATCTCCCACTCTCTCCTCTTCTTTTCGTCTTCCATTAACCTCTAACCCTTCAATCCCAATTCTAGCCAAATTAAACAATTTGCTGCTCTGGAACAATCTTGTCTTTGCATGGGGGCTACTTCTCTGGAACATTCTTATCTGCCTGTGAGACTTCTAGTTATCCCTCATGACCTAACTCAAACATCCAATACTCTCCAAAGATTTCTCTGGATTCTCCTGGGTAGAATTAGGCTCTCTTATCATTTATACATATTTCCATGTCTGAACTTATCATACATGTATTTGTAAATGTCCTTTTTCTTGGCTAAATTTGTGGCTTGTTGATGAGAGACCATGTCTCCTTCATCTTAAATTCCTCAACATTTCTGCTCCAGGAACTCAATATTTGAAGGTAGAGTGACTTTAAATATACTGAGCTATCTAGAAAGATAATTTCCTAGCTTCTGGGTGGAAAGTCAATTCAACAGTCAATGTTTCAAATGAAACATACCCAAAGATACATTATGCCAAGGTCCTTTCAATATAAGATTGTAATTGTGAAGAACGCCATTTTTTACTTTCTTTTTTCAGAAGTAATTAATATTTTTATTTGAGCTAGAAACATTAAACTCATCACCTCACTAGGCCACAACATTTTAAACTAGCTACTTCTTTTTAAATAAACTACAGCTGGGCCACGGATGTAGCTCAGTGGCACCGCCTAGCAAGTGCAAGGTCCTGAGTTTAATCCCTGGTACCAAAATAAACAAACAAACAAACTAAAGCTATCATTTCACTTTCAGGAATGTTCCACTAGATCCCCCTGGACCTACCAGCAGGTAATACAATCCTTGGACAAAGCTGAGTACTAGCTGTGTCACTGGCTCAAGCAGAGAATGAAAATGTGGACCGTTACACTCAATATTGAATGAGAATGAAAAAAATGTAAGTATATGGGTAAATGCCTTTGGTCTAATCAATTGAAATCTTAATAATTTGATTTCCTTTTAAAAACTGACTTCTTAAATTATTTTTACATGCAGAATAAGATACGGTATTAGTATTTAAAGATTCTATTTCTGACTGATGAATAAAGCTTTCCTGAACAAAAGTTCATTTTAGCCTAGTTTTCATATAGTTCTCAAATCCTGCTTAAGAAGATTTCATATCATAAAAATAAAATGCAAATGAAAGGAGAGAGTAGAAAGGACAGAGGGCAAAATGGAAGGGAGGGAGATTATGTCCCTAGCTTTATAGGGAATTTAAGCTTTGTTGAACTTTTCTAATATTTCAAAAATAATTAAAGCACATGATTATATAAAAAGTTAAAGATACATTTCTTAAGCTCCTATTGTTGTGGTAAGAGACATTTCTAATTTAAAAGAAACATACACACACAATAGGACTGTGTCAGTTATTCTGACCATGTGCCTTTATTAGAATTCAGGATGTCTCTTTGGAAACCCATAAATCTAAACCAGATGCCTGAAGGCAACTGCACCCAACTGCTTCTCCTAGTTCTGAAATAAATGATTATTATGTCCCTCCAATTAGCACCTTAACTCACATATATTTGTTTTCTACAGTGCTTTCATGGATGATGATTCCTCATTTTTTTTTCAAATTGTGATGTGGTTAAGATTTTTACTCCATGCTTATTAAAAAATTGACTGCTTGGACAGTGAGCTGCCTAGCTGAAGACATCTCATGAGATTTATATGAGTGAAAATGGATGCCAACTATATGATTAGTCTAAAGAAAGAATCTTGCCCCTCCCCCCAAAATATTTTTTTCTTCCTTTAAGAAAGCAAATAGGATTTTTAAAAATCTGACTGCTGGTAGTGAATGCAGAGGACTTCGGTCAGCCTTTTCCTTTCACCCTCCTCTCTCAATTTTACTGCAAAATTCAGGGCTTGTTTCTCCTTCCAGGTGCTCTTTCCAGGTTTGCTTTGAAGGAGATCCTGTGCTCTCAGGGCAGAACATCCTCTCCTATTGTGGACATTTGCTACAATCTTCAGCTGCAGATCGTCTGACAGTTCTGACTTTATTAACCTTTTCTAACTGATGGCTGCCCCAGTGACTCCATTTGAGGTGCCTCTAAGTGAGACATATTTTGTATTTCTCTAATTACAGAACTATCTTGACAATGACAGTCACTGCCTGTAATTACTCACCCTGGTTTCCTGGGAATCTGAAAAAAAATTGTCAAGGCTGACAAGCTACTTTAATATTTCAAAAATAGTTATTTCCTTGGGTGCAAAAATATCTCCTATTTTCCTCCCCTATTCTGCCTATTTGATTGTCCCTGAGCATCTTCCTCTCCCCACACCAAAGGTCTTCCCCAGTCCTTCCAAAACAGACACTATACATTCTTCTCTCGTCTACAGTCATTGCCCCAAGACTCCCCGGACACTGAACTGATGAGTATGTGCATTTGATGGCCATGTGTACATCTCTGCAGCGATCCCATAACTTACTGCATTTTCACCAAAGAGAGTAATGAGTGGAGCATAATGAAAGTTTACAGGACCTCAGCCTCCTAGACAAAGAATTTCAAGTCTGCCTGTCTTGTTAGTGTTCCTGCAAAAAACAATGAGCATACAAATAAATTATTTTGAAGCATATTAAATAGGAAATAGACACAAATCTGTAGGGGTAATAAGACTTATCTACATGGTTTTGTTGTTGTTGTTAATGACAGAAATATGTGTTCTTTACACACATAGAATTTTTGAGCAAGAGAAAATTACTTAAGAAAGATCATGGAGGCCTTCGTATTATCACTTGTCTAACATCTCTAATTTACATTTGTGTTCTGACACAGGAAATGTGACACTTTTGGATACTAGAAATCTTTGTAATGACATAAAGCAAATTTACCTCCATCTTTCTTACACATTTTTTCCTTAACTTTCATTATTTCATTTGAACTCCCTACCTCTCAAAAAATAAACTTTGTTATGGTGGCAGACCATCATATGGTGGTACTAAGAAATTTTAACCGAGGTATTGGTGAGTGCTACTTTTCTATAAGCCTAATTAGAAGTAGTGATAACAATATTTATTAGTCATTATAACCATTTACATTGCATTCTTTATGTTAGGTCACTCAACAAAAATAGTGTGAGTCCAAATTCTACATTTGTCACTATGCCAATTGCTAAGAATTTAATCAGACTGTGTGATCTTTGATGAATCATAGAGCCCTGAGTATTTTGGCTAGAAATACCTTACAGATAATCTAGTTCAGCACCTACCCATCTTGGTTGTTAATCACAATCATCTAAGGTTGCTTTACAAATGATAGATGTCTGCCTGAGCCTCACTTCTATATACTTTGATTCAGAAAATCTAGTGTGGAGCTAAAACATCTGTATTTTTTAGTTTCACAGGGGATTTTGACTACCAATAAGGTCAGTGCTAATAATCTGATCCACTTCTCTTATTTTAGACAAGGAGAAAACAGAGCTATAGAGGCTTTGAGGTTTTGAAGTTATACAACTAGCATGTGACACTATTAAACCTAAATCTAGACTTTCCCACTCCTCATTTCATTCTTTTCTACATCAACCAGGATTCTGTCAGTTGCAAAGGTCAAAAATCCAATTGAAACTATTTTAACCCAAAAATGAAATGCACTGTTTCATGTAATAGAATATTTCCAGGGTAATACTTAGGACCAGGGGTATTCTCTCTCTTTCTCTCTCTTTCTCTCTCTCTCTCTCTCTCTCTCTCTCTCTCTCTCTCTCTAATCTCTCTCTCTCAATCTCTCTCTCTCTCTCTCCCCAAGTCTCTAAATGTTCATTGGTAGCCTTAAACTCATATTCTACCAATTTAGCATTTCTACCAGAAAGAAAAGATCATTCCTGATACTTTAGCATGTGTAAACACACTCCAGCAAGGACTCCAATTAAACTAGCTTGTATCAGGACATGGAGCTCTTTAATGACAAGTCTGGGGGTGGTAAACCTGAAACATGGAATGGAGTGGTTATGTTGCTAGAAATGTGGCTGGAGAATGAGTTATATGTGTACACACAATATATGAAATATATATAAGTATATATATAATTTTAATCTATCTAACCCACTCTATAATCCAATTAATGATCTTCAAAAGTTTTTAACCATAACCTACAGTATTAAAATATGTTTATCCTATGACTTTCAACTTTTCTAAAACACAGGTTTCATAAAACAATATTATGTTTACAATACATGCTGATATTTTCTGCCACATTCTACTTCATTTTGTAAAAAATTACAGTCTTGACTCACCAAAGTATATTTTCAATACCAAAACTAGTTATGAACATGTAAAAAGTAGTTTGATTGACATTTCATTTGACAATTATTGAATGAGTGATTAAGTCTCCAATAGGCATTATACAGAATTTAAATGGCATTTTTGATGATGTCTGGTCTTTAAAGGTGTACATAACCAAGGAGGAAATGAGTAAGACAGTACGGCCTAAGCAGAAGGAGGAGACTAATTAGAGAGAAAAATAATACTTCATCCCTCAGGAAGAAGGCCAAGGGGCTGAGGCATAGTGCAACAAGCCAGACATTATCCTGCACAAGAATCAAATAAGCCAGAAAGACAGATAATATTCCAAAGCCAAGGAGTAAAATTCAAAGCAAGGGTAAGCAGAAGCTAATCTCAGGAGGCAGCCAAGAAAAAAGTGAGAAAACAGTCAGAAGCTGAAAGTAAAGACAATTAGCAAGATGCAGGAAAAATGTCAGATGAGAGCCCAGCAGCATGTTAAAGTAGGTCAAGGGCCCCTTCTACAGCTTGTGATGGAAACCTGCCAGTGGACTGCTGGGAAGGTCTTGTGGTAGAAACATGCCCTACCACATGCATATCCCGGGTAGGAAAATAGGAACCTTAACTAAATCTCACTGTCATCTGTTAAGTAAATAAGACTACGACAATTACACTTCTCCTTCAGCCTGCTTCATGAGAATGTACATCATGGACCCAACATTAGTACATATGGTTAACAAAGATCTCTCCAGTACAGACAAGTGGCAAATGGTGATGAAAGATTCTAAGCCAGTCAGCTCCTGTGGTGACTTCCTTAAAGCTCATTGTAATACTACAAGAAACAAAATGAAAATCTCCAAGATAAGTATGTTTCTTATATTATCATACGTAACTTTAAATTATACTTGTTTACTTAGTCATACTTCCCTCGATCACCATAGCTTTTGAACCAGTTCTCACTAATGCCTTTTTACAAAATAAAGTCTTCACATTATAGATGCTTCCTCAAACTGTGAAAATAACCCTGAGATGTCTTTTCACAGTGTGAAATAGTTGCAAGGAGGCCTACATATGTCAGTACTTTTCCTCTTGATTTTATTGGATTCTTGTCTGCAACTCTACCTCTTAGAGTAGTTCCTCTTTGAGTATTAGCTTTTGTCTTCTCACAGAGAGTCATAAACCATTTCTGATTGAAGTGCAATCCTATTCCATTTTCTTCATTGCTTTCTTTTCCCCAAATACATTTCATACACTACTAACATCTAGTAAATGTGTGATTTCTTCCCTGCAAGACTCCTTGGTGCACTGTAAGACCTGGATTTCCAGGATAAGTCCTACAAGATTATCTTCTACTAATAAGCTGCAGGCTGGCACACTCCAAGGCATATTTTAATACTGTAGGTTATGGTTAAGCAGCAACTGCACACTCCACTCTCTTACCCCCTTATCCCTCACCTCCATCTCAAGGACATAGAATATAGCCCCAGATTCCCTTTTAAATTCTTAAAGTGTGAATAAAGTCCAGACAACAAGTCATTACCACCATCCCATCCTGGATTTATTACTTCTTTGGCCAACAGATTTACACACCACATAGAGAGCCAGAGAGCCCAACTTCATCCCACCTCTCTTCACAATTCATTGCTCCCTTTCTGCCCTCAGGAGAGTCCAGACCTCCAAAATTAATTAACCTCAGGAACGATCACCCTGCATCTCTGCTTGGATGCTTGGATGTTATAGCTCCCTGTGGTTGGAAATAGTGACTTGACAAAGTCTGTCTAGAACAGCTGTTTTGTGCATGAGCCAGTAAGATCAAAGTATGATTCCACAGTCATTTTTCCAAAACCTTTATGGTTAAATATTTCAGAAATCACAATATTTTAGATTTCATATAGACAATATGGTGCACTAAAACTTACATTATTTAACATCCAGAGCAAATCTAGGACAACAACATAAACATATTGATCTTTCTCCAGAAAAACATAAAATTACTCACACGCTATGAGGAAAATAACACAAACAGCTTCAAGTCAGATCAGAACAGATATTTCTTCCAAAATGCCAAAAAAAACTTTCAGTATTTAATTTACTATGTTTTTAAACAGTGGACCTGTATTACAGAAAGTAGCCAATAATGGATGGATTGTTGGTAGGTGCCAATTGCAATGCTTTATCTAGGATTGGCCAATCACCTGACCTGGCCCCGGGAACCATGGCTCTTCAACCAGGGTCTTCATTCATACTGGCCTATTCCTACCTCTGGGAAGTGCTTGTACTATTCTTGTGTGCTGTTTGTGGCCTAATCCTGGTGCCAAGCCTGCCTGAACTTTATGTAAATTTTCTTTGACTTTAATGCCAAATGACATTTTTTGAGATATTAATTTATGATTTTTCTTAGTTTTCCCCAATCCTCCAGTTCTAGGAAGGTTCTAAGGCCCTAATATGTTCCTTTGCTTTTGTGTAGCAATCTTTCTCTTTCAGTTTTCCAAAAGACTGAAATCCTTGAGAGTATTAGGTTAAGAAGAAATGAAGAGATGTGAGTGATTTTGAAGACTGAGAAAAGAAAGAAGATGGATTTTTCAAAACCTGGGAAGAATTCAGCAGGCTTCACAGACTGCGGACCTGAGGCTACATCATGAACGGTGACAGAATGTGGACCACCTGCATGGTCACCTATTTTTGGCAGAAATTTACATGTCCAAAGAAGTAGAAAAGCCTTTGAACAGTCCACCAATGAAATATGGGTATCAATGGTAAACGAGTGGAGTATAAATAGGAGGTGCCACCTATTATAATGTTGTAAGTACCCTGGTATACTTCATGTAATCAGGGTAGAGGAGTGCGGAGAGTGCCAGACAAAAATTAAACTGCTAGTTGACAGTTGAATAAACTGAAATTATATTAAATTAGATTTCTGGAAGCAAGTGAGGTGATGATTTTGTACATTTAAGTATGTAAATTAATTTTCCTGCTTCTATCTCTTGGATACATTTAAAGATAGTGCCTTCCTACCTCAATTGTCCACAATTTATTGTTTACTTTTTATATTTTACAGTTTTTCATTTTGTATTTCTTCCTTAGCACTCCATTTTACTACCCTCTTTTCTTAATGAGGAAGAATCTTTTCTCATAAAGCTTTGAAATGACCCAGGAGGACAAGACTAGAAGAACATTAGAAGCTTTATTATGATTTTATATATCATGCAATACGAAAACAAGCAAACCATTGAAACAGTTAAATTATATATGTTTCTACTTGAGACCTTGACTCATCTACTTCTTTCCCTAGGTAGAGCTCTGGCTTGGCTGGGGTC